GGTGACGCCCGCGGGACTGACCCGGGCGGGCCGAGCCCGGAGGGAGGAGCTGCAGCCCCGACCCTCCGTTCAGCACAGAGACACTCGCAGTTCCTCCCTCAGCCGCCCGTTCTCCGAGGGGACAGCTCTGCTCCCGGGTGCCGGGACCGGAGGGGACGGTGCGGGCCGCGCCAGGGGAGGGCTGTGTGCGGTTTGGGAGGCATTTTTACTGGAACAGATGGGCTGGCGGGGTCAGGGCGCGGTGACACGGCTGGGGGACACGGTCTGGTGGCCTGTGCTGCTGGGGGGGCTCTGCCCACCGGGAACGTTCTGTGGTTCCTCTTCCGAGCAGCACCGATAGCAGGGCAGCGGGTATTTCAGGAGCAGATGGTGAAGGGAAAGGCTGCAAGGGAAGCATGAAACAGGTCTGTGAATAACTGAACGTGGCGTTAAAGCTGAGATTGATCTCAATGGGTGTGTTTACAGTGTGTTTTGTAGGTCGATTTTTGTTTGGTGCTGCCAAAGGAAAGAGGATGGAGCCAGCAGACGCTGCCGAGGGAGCCGTGCTCATTACTGGAGGAGGGGGTTATTTCGGCTGCCGGTTAGTGCGTTAAATAGTTACCACGTACAACAAAAAGTGTAACAGGTTGCTGCTGGTGAGGGGACAACATCCACCTGGGTCTCCTTTGGAAAACTCTGGGCCTGAGATGCTTGATCCAGCTCAACCCCATCCTCAGATTCATCCGGGGTCTCACTCTTAGACAAACGTGTTACTCTGTTTCTTAGTATTTTAAGCAAATATGTTATTGTATGTCCAAATGTCAAGCATCAACTGGCTTGCAGACATTTACCTGTTTGGCCACCTTTGTGCTGAGGATTTAGATCATAATCTTTCAGGCAGCTCTCAGGAGCAGGACTACACCTGTATGCAGATCTTCCTTTTGGCAGCAGGCCCTGGCCTGCAAACAGTTACACACGTGCTTAGCTCTATCAATTCAGTACTGCATCTGCTCTCTACTCTCTAGAATCTGTTTGTCATGGACATTGATGTTTTAGATTTGGAGTTTTTAATAAGGTACATATTTCAGTGAGATCTATTTCCCCTTACTGTAGATGGCTCTACAGGCTGGATCATGTAAAGAAAAAATCCTATTTTGAGCCCTAGACTATCTTCTAGATAATCTTCAGAGTTATAACTGCTTTCATAGGTGAGAGAGATTACAGTCATGACCAAAAAGTAAATTTCAAGCATGGAGAAAAAAATCTCAGAAGATACCTGACTTCTTGATTGCTTTCTTCCACTGTCTTGCCCTTCACTATAGAAATACAACAGTTGTAGGAGGGAGGAATACCAGATTTATACTTTGTGTCAATGCCTGCATTTATACCTGTGACTTGGAGTAATATTCATACCAGCTTAGAGCCATTCCTCTTCTCCATAAATTTCAAACACAAGGGTGAATACCAGCCTGTTATTCTGACAGAACTAGGATGACACAAAAGCAATAAGATAAAACCAGTAACTTTTTTTTTTTTAAATATTTGGCTACAGATTAACATCTAAAAAGTTTGCTATTGCTGATCTGCAGGGGACAAAAGCAGAGAAATAGCTGGATTCTTCCAAAAAGCTGCTGAAAGCACTTCAGTTATTTCTGTTCTTGTTTTTCCTTTGCAGCAGTTCCATCTCTTTCCCCACCCCCATAGAAAGTATTGATGGAGCTTAAGAAATTAGTTCAGTACCTAAAGTATCACAGTTGAATCTTCAGTAAATGGCTGAATATTTAAGAGTCCCACTAGGGGCAAAAAGAAACCCAAACCAAAAAAAACCCCAAACGTAACAGTATTAAAATAGTTAATAGTCTTCCCCCACCCCCAGGTGAAATGTTTCGTGCTTCATTATGCTACATATACCAGCAGTTTCTATCCTGCTCTAGTTTAGGTTGTGCCATACACCAGAAGGGAGTTGATGTGATTCTCTTTGATGTCGTGAAGCCACTTCAAGCCATGCCAGAGGGAATGAAGTTCGTGAAAGGGGATGTCTGCTGCCTGTCTGAAGTGGCAGAGGCGCTTCCAGGTGTCATCTGTGTATTCCATATTGCTTCCTATGGAATGTCTGGCAGGGAGCAGCTCAACCGAAAACTTATAGAAGATGTTAATGTGAAAGGAACAGAAAATGTCATCCAAGCCTGCAGGAGCACAGGAGTGTCGAGCCTGGTTTATACAAGTACATACAACGTGATATTTGGAGGCCAGATTATAGAAAACGGGGACGAATCTCTGCCTTACCTACCTCTTCACCTGCATCCAGATCACTACTCCCGGACCAAGTCTTTAGCTGAAATGAAGGTGTTGGAGGCAAATGGTGCTGAGCTTGAAAATGGGCAAGGTATATTACGGACTTGTGCTCTCCGACCAGCAGGCATCTATGGGCCTGGAGAACAAAGACATCTTCCAAGAATAGTTAGTTACATTGAAAGGGGGCTGTTTAAATTTGTATATGGAGATCCCCTTAGTTTAGTAGAATTTGTCCATGTTGACAACCTAGTTCAGGCTCATATCCTTGCGTCTGAGGCCCTCAAAGCCAGCAGAAAGCACATAGCTGCAGGCCAAGCCTATTTTATTTCTGATGGCAGGCCTGTCAATAACTTTGAATTTTTCCGACCGTTAGTGGAAGGTTTGGGTTACAAGTTCCCAACCTGTCGCCTTCCACTCTCCCTGGTCTATTTCTTTGCATTCCTTACTGAAGTAGTTCATTTTCTTGTAGGTCACATTTACAATTTTCAGCCTCTTCTCACTCGCACAGAGGTTTACAAAACTGGTGTCACACATTATTTTAGTATGGAGAAAGCCAGAAAGGAGCTGGGCTATGAGCCTCAGCAGTATAGCCTGGACGAAGTGGTTGAGTGGTTTAGATCTCAGGGTTGTGGACCAAAGCCAAGGAAATACACCATCATGCATCTTGTGAGGGAAGGAGGTTTGCTCTTGCTGCTGATTGCTGTGATGGTCTCATGGTTTCCATCTGCAGTTACATTGTCACTCTGAAAGATGAAACACTGAGTACAGAGCACTCTATTTAGTTATGTTGTCTGAGTACTCTTGGTTTTGACAGGTAACAGAAAAAAGACCCAAGAATATACACCTGTGTCATTAAGGTAAATGTCTTCAAGAGTTTTATCCCCAAGGAATGGAAATGCTAAGTAAAAAGGTGTAATTTTTATACATATTTCCTCTTCAGAGTAAAATTGATCAGATCACTAACAAGATGAAACTTAGTATTACTGCAAACATATTTTATTTTCAGGCACAACAGCACACTACAATGAATGGAACAAATGTCCTTTGACTGACCCTTCTTCCTCCCTGATGGGATTATACTTTTGATCCCTGTCCTTTATTGCTAAAAAGTTTGTGCTACATGATCCAGAGGACAATAAACTTTTTCTTTGATCACATTCCAAACTCAAATTCTGCTTTCCAGCTTGGATATATATATGCCTACCCAAGATTAACTGATAAACTGCTAGATAATAAATAAATACTTTTTTTTTTTTCTTAATTAAAACATTCTGGTATGCTTTTCTTAGTTAACTGTGGTATCTAATGACATTTCTGAGAAAATGCACAATAGTTAAGCTAAGTTATAGTAAAGAGCTTGAAGCAGCACAGATTTCTAGATTTTTTCTAACAGTAGAATCTGCCTGTTTAAAATGAATGAGCTAAAGTGCATTCATAAATAAGATCTATGATTTTTCCCAGCATTATTGAATGGTTAAACAAATAATCCATCAAAGACATTTGGTGAGTGATTACATTCATGTTCCACTGTTTATAAAACATTTTTAGGCTTTAATAATATTTCTTTAACACCTGACACAATTTGAATAGAATATCACCCTTGTAGTAGGATGGTAGACACTTGATACAATGAAACTCATTATTTTGTGGAGTTTTTAAGAATAGAAAAGAAGACCTTGAGTACAGGTCACTACTGTCTCTAGCAACTCCCTCATCTCTGTCAGTTTAAAATAGGAAGAAGTCCTGAGAAAATTCACATCAAAATATTCAATCACTAAGTCGTTTTCCCTTAACCTGTCAGAATGACATTTTCAGTACTTCTTGATAAAAGGACAGTCCTTCAAGAAGTTCACAAATCCCTTTAAACTTTACTAGTTAGAGCCCCAGATAGCTTTTTAGGTAAAACAGAAAAGGAAGCTCCAGAGGAGACAAACACAACCACTTGAATACCAAAAACTCTGGCAAAAACTGAGCTCAACACATGAACTTTTTCATTTGTCTGGGGTCAAGGACAGAAGTTTTCACTGATAACAGGAGGCATTATTTTGTCCTAACGGGCCATGACTCCTGCTTGAGCACAGGTACTGGTTAGGAGGAATAGCCAGTGGCTACCCCACACCCCGTCAGCAGGGTGTCACTATATTCATTAATTCCCTGTCATTCTGCTCCATCTAATTTAAAAAAAAAAAAAAAAACACAAAAAAAACCCACAACAAACAACCAAAGTCTTGACTACACAAGAGGTGAAGGATTTTTTTCCTCTTTCCAAAACAAACCAGGAAATCTGTGGCTGAGGAAAAGACTTTTAAATTTCCTGAAAATTACATATATACAGTCAGTCACAGCTGCTCTATTTTAAGTATTTTACTATGAGAATTCCTTCTCCTTCCTGTTTATTTGTTATTAATACTCTTGCATGAATAGCTGAGTAAATTAAGGTGATTAATTGAAGTGTTGTGTCTGTGTACAAATTTTAATCTATTACCTGTTTTACTGAAAGTTAATTACCAGAAATGCATCTAAAAACTGAAAAAGCAGAACAAAATGCAGCACAGTTTCACTTTTTCCTAGTCCTCAAAATTCTTTAACAACTGTTAAGTGCCTGAATGAGGCTGATGTTCTAAGTGAACAGTTTAAGAATCTTTGGTCATCTGCTTCACATGCACAGCATGTCAAGGTAAAACTGCTAGATATACATTAGCAACTTAAGACTTCTAATTTATATTTATATACATTTGTTTTAGAAATTTAAATGTCAATCATCCTTAAAGTAGACCAGATTTTTACAGTGTTTTCTCCTAAGATACTCAACCAAAATTTTCCTTCATTTCTAGTGAATACTAATTTCCACATACTTACAACAACATAGTGGCCTATTTAATAATTTACAATGAGATCTTCAGAGAAAAGTGTCCTGAACATAAATTTTAGAAGATTTGGGGAATAAATTGCAATTCAGAGTAAACAAGTGTTAAGGGAAGGAATTCTGCTTTCTCATGATTCCCTGTTTTACTGGAGTAGCACCTAAGATGTAGACTAGCAGTGAATGAACTTGTACTCTCATTAATAGCTGTGCATGTTTATAAATACTGTCAGGGATCAGAAGACAAATTTGGCATTAAACTGATTCTGAAGGTTAATTTTCATTATATTTAACTCCTATTTCTAAAAATATAAATTGAATTTTGGAACAAAGTCAGCTCTGTGGACTGCACTTGGAAACGCTGACGCACAATTATAGCAGAATTCAACAACCTGTACTTCAGCTTCTAAGCCACCTTCAGGGTTTTTTCCAACTAGGAACTCTCTTTGGAAAAGTCAAAGAGAATTGCTGGCACATAGCTAATGACATCTCACCATCCTAGAAGGTTAGTAAGAGAACTGCAAAACTAAAAATAAGTATTTGCAACAGAGTAAATGATAGATGCATTAAAGTGGAAAAGTAAGAACATAGGCAACAAAACATCTGGATGAAGAAATACTAATAGTCACAAATTAAAAGGTAATAAATACCTTTCAGCTCATCTAATGACCTAGAATAACTATGCTACAGGATACCTCATATCAAGTCCTGCTCAATATGCATATGTTTTTTATCAAAAGAAAGAAAAATTTACTTCCCAAGAAGAACAATGAAAAACAATGAAAAAAATCACAACATAAAGACCATGTAGCCACGCAGCCTTACAGGCAGAAAGTGTGCTGATACCATTTAATGGTGAACTTCAAGATTCCCATGCTTTCAAATGACTGTACACATATCCTTTGCTTTGTTCCATCTTTACTGCTTGAGTTCATCCAAATCTGATGCTCTCTAGAGCTAAAGCTTCTACCTACCTATCACTGAAAAAGGTCGGTTAGGAGTTGCAAGTGAAACCTGATCTTTGACCTTTTCCTTCTGCCCTGCTTGTTTTGCACTCAGATGAAGTGCAACAAGAACCATGACTATAGAAACAATCAATAAGACAGTTCATCTTAAAAACACAAATGCCCTTCCCTCCAGGCTAGAGCAGAACACACCATAACACAACAGACCACTGTTGTCAATAAGAACTCACTCGTACTCCTCAAATGACTGGCAAAATTAATGAAATTCAATGAGCAATGCTTAAACGAAGAAGCATCTGGCATCATTCATATCACTGCTGAGATATCAAAAATTATTTATTAAAAATAAGTTATTCTAAGGATTTTAAACAGTTTTTATAAGAATACAACAATTTAACAGGTATTGTTAACTTAAAACAATTATAAATGTTTTTCCTCCTTGATTATAAAATTGGCACACAAATTCAAACCTACTTTCATATTAAAACAGTTGCAAGTGTAAAAAAGTTGCTTACAGAGTCTGCCCTGACAACAAATTGAGAGGTGAAATTTTGCAGTTAAAAGAGAGAGTACAAGAAACAAGAGAAGAGTTAGTACATAGTCTTGCCCTTCACTTGCAAGGCAGAGAACCAGCCAGTGCAGTATTTCCTTCTGGACACAGTGTAACATTATACTCTGGGGAAAAGTCTTATTGTTAAATGGATTTTCATAAATATTGAGGAGTATCTCTTATAACTTTTGACATCAAGCATGTGTGGACAATGTGCACAGAACTTTTCAAAGAACTATAAATTTGCTAATTCTTAACTATTTGCAAAGCAGCAGTACAAGAAACTCCTGTGTTCATCACACAATGGCTGTCCTGCATCAGGAAAATGCACATCAAAAAAAGAAACCAGGGCAAATTGACAATTTTCTTATGTCCAGTCTGGAACTGAGCTTAAAACACCAAAGCAACAGCCTTGAGCTCTAAGGTTTGATCTCCCTAAGCCCTGGCTTCTTGTAGTCTCCTTTGTGACCAGTCCAAACTTAGCTGGTACTCAACTGCCTATACATCCTGTCCCACCTGTAGCAAAAATCTCAGGACCTTCCAGCCAAGGCTTTGGGCCACCTTGTCTGATCAACTCTGACAACACACTGTTCTCACAACATTAAACAGGAATCATAGAGGTTATTCAATTAAATATACAGCACAGGGAACAATCATATGGCAAACTAACCATGTCCTCAAACATGCCACAAAATGCATGCACCCCAATGGTCCACCCCTCGAGGAGCAGCAACTGCGTCATCCCGTTACACCTGGATACTGCAGATAAGGCCAGCTTTATACAATAGTCTAGGTTAGAGCTTCACATCCCAAATCCACACTTGATGAGATTTTTTTATTTGTTTGAGTGGAGTTTTCACCCATCTCATCCTTGGAACAGGTCAGTCACACCTGGGTACTGAGAAGCTTCCAGGCAGGAGGAAGAAAAGATAATTGCCTTTAACTTTGCTCTCTTCTCTTTTTTTCAGTTGGGTGATTAGTAATCAATTTCTTTATAATAAAAACTGTACAGAAGCCATCCCATTGTGAGGCACACTATTACAGCACTTTCATCTTTGAGACAAGACTGTCTTTACAGAATAACTAAAACCTCAAGGGAGTACCTCTAACCATCATCTGTGAAGGCACAATGACATCAATTAAGTGTCTCTTGAAACAACAGAAGTCATAGCACTGGGAGTAAGAGAAAACTGCTGAGGCAGCTTCATCAGGCCATGAATCCCAAATCCAAGCAAGTTTTCTGTGATCAGAAATACAGCACTGTGTATGCAGCATTTTATGCCTCAGGCAGTCACTTTGACAGAAAAACTTAATCCCTCTGCAGACATTTGGAAGTTAAAGTCAAGCATACAGACAGCAAAATTGCACCCACATAGAGATAAAGGAACCAGGAATTTGATAATAACACAGTGCTAGCACAAAGAGCCAAG